ACTCACTGCACTCCAGTCTGGGCGACAGAGTGAGACTCCAACTCAAAAAATATATATATATATTTGGAGGAAGTACAGCATGATTCATTGTTTAGGCTCTGGAGCTGTGCTTCTGTGGGTTCAAATTCTAGCTCTATCACATAATAGCTGTGTGATCTCAGGCAAGTTACTTAACCTGTCTGTGCCAGACTTTTCTCATCTCTAACGAGGGAATGATAACAATCATAAAATGGTTACAAATATGTGAAGCCCTTAAATAGCGCAGGGTTGTAGAAAGGGCTCAGTGAGTGTTAGCAGCAAGTTTCTAGAGCGTGACCTTGGCAGAAGTTTTGCTCCATAAGCCTTCTCTTCTTACCTGTAAAAGTGCAGGGAAAATACCTTTTCTCGATTCACTCAACACTTACTATGCTTCAGGCCCTCCTTTCGTCACAGGTGAGAGAGTGGTGAACAGAGCGCTCAGGCTTTTCTTGCAGATTCAGCCCACCAATCACTTACGTGTTTTAAGTAAACACATAAAATCCTTTCTGATAGTCATCAGTGCCAAGAAGAAAATGACATAAGCTGAGGTGTCAGAAAGGACGTGGCGCTGTTTTAGCCAGGGTGATGGGGAAGGTCGCTCTGAAGAGACTGAGCAGAGACCTAAGTGACGAACAGCGGCACCTGTAAGGAGAGCCAGGCAAAGCATTCCAGGCCCAGGGAACAGTCAGCACAATGGCCCAGAGGCCGGAAAGAGGAGGCCTGTACTGGAGCAGAGTGAGTGAGGGGGAGTGTGGAGGAGAGAGGCCAGGGAGGTGATGGAGGAGGGTTTTTAGGGCCTCCCGGGCCATGCGGGAACTGAGTGAGGTGGAGCCATAGAAGGCTCAGAGCCGAGGAGGGATGTGACCTGACTCAGGCCTTCACGGGATTCCTTCTGCAGTGTCGGGGCAGGGCAGGAGCATGGGGACAGTGAGGAGGTGAGGAAGGACAGGACCCGATGGAGCCCTGACAGGGAAGAGGTTTCCACGCTGCCAGCATCTGCTCCCCTGTGGCTGGGCACCCCGAGGCAGGACCAGAGCCAGGGGCAGCTGGCAGGATTCAAAGGACCTCAGCCAAGGCATCTCTCAGGATGCAGGGCCGTGCAAAGGCGCTCGGACTTGTGAACTCCCTCGCCTGGTCCACCGCCCACTCCCTCGTCCCCCTGGGAGACTGAGTGCAGCCTTCTCTTGGGACTGCCTCTGGGCTTTGCTGATGCTGTTCCTGACACCCGACACACTCTTCTTCTCTCCTTTGGTCTCTACTCCAAGCGCCGCCCACCCGCCTCACCCAGCTGATCCTGAATCTGTGGGAGGTTGTTCAGAGATGCCCTCTCCCTCTTCCTCAGCCCCCTTCAGTCTGACTGCCCCCTCCCACCCTCACCCCAGTCCCAGCGCTCTCCTCTGACTGGCAGGAGAGGCGGAGTCTTCTGCAGGGAGGTGGAAGCCCGCCGCAAGCGTAGGACTGAGCATCCCTGGAGTGGGGAGAGGCTGCGGGCAGTTCCAAGGCCCGATTCCTTCACAGCTTTGCTTATCCCATGCTGCCCGTCCTTGTGCACTTCCTGCAGGCACGTTCTGTCTGAGGACCCTGGCTCTGGAGTAACCTCCTCCAGAAGACCTCTGATTCTCTCCAGCCCTTCTAGCCCTCTAGCCCTTCTGCCCCTCTCGGAGCCTGGCCTGTCCCTCATCCCAGTCCCAAACGTAGGCCACGTTCTCTGACTGTCCCATGAGTGTGTGTGCCCTCCCCACCAGCCCAGGAGACAGGCTATGAGAGAGGGGCTCAGCCGGGCTCGGTGGCTCAGCCCGTCATCCTGCACCTTTGCGAGGCTGAGGTGAGTGGATTGCCTGAGCCCGCGAGTTCGAGACCCGCCTGGGCAGCGAGACCTCATCTCTACAATAAAAAATCAAAAATGAGCCAGGTGTGGTAGCGCGTGCCTGTAGTTCCAGCTACTTGGAAGGCTGAGGCGGAAGGATTGCCGGAGCCCAGCAGTCGAGGCTGCGGTGGCCGGGAGTGGCCACTGCACTCCAGTCTGGGCGACACAGTGAGACTCCAACTCAAAAAAAAAAAAAAGAAAGAGGGGCTCAAGGCAGAGGTGCCCCAAGGCTGTCGTCAACACACACCTGTGGGGCCCTCTCACCCTCAGCCCTCCGAGGACCTGGTCCGCAAGGGCCACCTGACGGGGCTCAAGCCCCTGGTCCTGGTCACCTTCCAGTCCCCAGTCAACTTCCACCGCTGGAAGATAGAGCAGTTGCAGATCCGAATGGAGGCCGCTCCCTTCCGCAGCACAGGTGAGCCTGGGGCAAGCCAGAGGGGCCGCCGCCGGGCAGGGTTGGGGGGCTGCTGGGGCTTCGGTGGCACCCTGGCCTGAGCAGGGCACAGGGAGGCCACAGCAGGGCCACGGCCCAGATGGAGCCACTCCAAGGCCCCAGTGGGACCCAGGGCCTCAAGGGGAATGTGCGCAGTTGCAGGGAGACCCCGAAGGGGTCTGTGGCCTGGAAGGCGGCTGGGAGGCCCAGCAGCCTCAGGGCCCACTGCTTGCCAGCAGGGCTGTGCATGGCGGAGGAGCTGTGTGTGATGAGCTGGTACACACCCATGCCTATCAAGAACGGCAGCGCAGTCATGGATGTGGGTGTCAGCAGCAATGGCCTGGGGGCCTTCATTCCAGATGAAAGGTGCCCTTTCCCAAACCCAGGCAGGGGCAGACTCTGGGAGAAGTTCCTAAGTCCCAGATCCCAAAGTGGGGGTGTTGGGGGGGACCCAAGGGAGGAATGGGGGAGGCAGCTGTGAGCTGTGGGAGGAGCCCTGAGGTTGGAACCCTCACCTGCGCCCGCCCTGCACCTGCTGCCAGGTTCCAGGTGAATATCAACGGCTTCCTGAAGAGACAGCAAGACAACACAGTCAAGTTCACCGTAGGAAATGAGGTGAGGGACCTGGGCAGTGGGGGAAAGACATGAATGGTGGCCGGGCCCGATGGCGCCCACCTGTAATCCCAGCACTTTGGGAGGCAGGGGTGAAGGAGTGCCTGAGCCCGGGAGTTCAAGACCAGCCTGGGCCCCATAGCGAGATGCCCTCTCCACAAAAAGTTGAAAAAATGAGCTGGGCATGGTGGCGTGTGCCTGTAGTCCCAGTGACTCAGGAGACGGAGGCGCAGGGATTGCCTGAGCCCAGGAGTTTGAGGCTAGCGTGAGCTGTGATGGTGCCACTGCACTCTAGTCTGGGCAACAGGGTAAGACTCTGACTCAAGAGAAAAAAAGAAAAGATAACGGTCTGGGCCTTGGGCTGAGGCCCTGATTACTTCCTAAACAAGTGGGGGATCCCACTTCTAGAGCACTGATGTCATGCCATGCCCCCAGTGAAGGGCCCTACTAAGGACACAGCCATGTGAAGTCTTCACCATGGCCCTGTGAGGGGAGGTACTCTCACATACCCGTTGCAAAGAGGAGAAGACTGAGGCCCCGGAGGGAGGAGTGACTCAAAGTCTCTCGGCTTAGAAGGAGCCCAGGAGTTTGAGACCAGCCTAGACAGCATAGAGACCTTGTCTCTACAGAAAATAGAACAATTAGCCCAGGAAGCTGAGGTTGTGGTGAACTGTGATTGTGTCACTGCACTCCAGCCTGGGCGACCTCGATTCCAAAAAAAAAAAAAACAACAGGAAAGAAAGAAACACAAGATTCTTCAGCCAGAGGGCTTAGGTTCAAATCCTGTTTCTGCCACCTCCTGGCTAGGTGACCTTGGGCAAGTCATTTTCCCTACCTGGGCCTCAGGTTTTCCTCTATAAAATGGAAATCACGTTTACTTCATAGAATGAGAGGATGGTCGGGCTCGGTGGCTCAGCCTGTAATCCCGCGCTTTGGGAGGCCGAGGTGAGTGGATTGCCTGAGCCTGCAGGTTCGAGACCCACCTGGGCAACTTGGCGAGACC